TTTTAAGAAGAAGTCAGATGTTCTTCTTAGCTCAGGGAGAGCCGTGAGGATATTTGACCCTTAGAAATGAAGTTGGCAGTGGGTGTCTGTGATGCCTTGTGGTTGCAAGCATGGTTTCTCCACCAGAGTGCCCTCAACCAAAGGTTTTATGCAGTTTCATGGCCCTGGTGCTCACACATAGCAGTCAGCACCCACTAAACAAATACCAGGACAGGACCCCTGATGTATCCAAGTGGCATTTCCCACTCCATAAAGACCACGACAGAGTGTGTGGTGACCTGGCACAGCCAACCATCCACCTGACCCTTCCCTGTGCTAAAGCAGAGCTGAAGGACATGAGTTTTACCACGTGAAAGCATTAACTTTAGGAGACACAGCAAGGTGGTTGAAACATTCCCAAAACTTTGTCAAACCCAAAAGCCAAAGACCAAGGCAGGTGTCGAGGTTCATGTCCTTACCTGTCAGGGAGACCATGAAGCCCTCCAGCTCACACAGCTGCTTGCCAAACATGAAGAAGCCGTAGATGTTGTTGGAGAAGCTGACGGAGCTGCCGCAGAGCGTCACCAGCAGGTCAGCCACAGCCAGGTTCATCAGGATGTAGTTCAGGGGGGAACGGAGCTTCTTGTACCTGATGGAAACCACAATGACCAAACCATTCAGAACTGAGGCAGAGACCACCACGATGCCCATCAGCACAGCCACCGACAGGTACATGGCCCGTGGGGCCTGGTAGGGCCATTGGGGGCCATCAAATGGTCCTGGGGTCCCATTATTTGGGGGCTCCTCTGAGCTGTCAGGGGAGTACATGTGTCTTCTTCTGAAGCCACCTAGTGCAGGTGACCCTCCCCAAAAGCAAAGCCTCTTTATAGAGCAAGAGGGTCTGACGTGCCCCAGAGCAGCTTTGCATTAAAATACCTTAAGCTTTATTTTAATCTGAAGGGTTTGTCCTCCCCCCTCCCTTTTACTAATCAGCTCTTTATTCCAGAGGGAATAAATCTGATGACTGAACAGAGCATCATTTAATTGAGTAAATATTTTTTTTCCTTGTGCTTTCCAGCTGTCTTTCCCCATAAGTGTTTTATCCCTGCCCAGCCTTGGCATCTGGAACTGGACATCATCCTCTAAGCTATGGGTTTACTGTGCTGTAGGCTACTCTATCTATCTATCTATCTATCTATCTATCTATCTATCTATCAATCAATCAAGACAGGCTAGGGAGATGAGGAGGAGGAGGAACCCTTTATGTCAAGGAGCAACTGGAAAATGTGGAGCTCAGCCTGGGGATGGATGAGGAAATAATTAAGTCTGTGGGTCAAGATTAAGGGTAGGGTTGGGACAGGGGATGTTATAGTGGGGAGTCTGCTACAGACCACCTGATCTAGATGATCTGCAAGGTCCATTCCAACCTCATTCCAACCCCCATATTCTATGGATTCTATATAAATACATATACACACACACATATATAAATACAGTATATATACTACCTTGGGCCAAGCAACCCCTAATGCTCTAGTTTAAAACCATCTCTTGTTCCCCAAATCCTTTCTGGACCCCAAATTCCAAAGCTTCATCACCAGCATCAACCAATTATATTTTTTTTTCAAGCTTTTTATTTTCAGTTCTCATTATAAATATTAACAAATTTGACAAAAAGTACACAGATAGGTAATACTGAAATACAAAAGTCTCTCAGGATGCAGGTAAGGACAGTTTCTGCAGCCTTCACATGGTAGCAAAACATTGGTATCAAACATTTCACGAGGCCTGGCATGACAACCACCAACTCTGCATGCAGCTGGGATGGACGGACGGAGTGTCCGCTTAGAAAAGACTTGGATACAAAGTGAAGGAACCCACACACACATGTCCTACTCCACCTCAGGCATAAACCAGTTTCATAGCAAGATATGCTGAAAGAAATGATGGACTGAAAAAAGAAAAGGGAGGAACAGCCAACCTGAAGCTCCTGGAAGCTCAACCCCAAATTGACTTTTAAGGTGCTGGACCAGAAAGGATTATCAGGAATATCCTACTTGACACTCTGCCAGCATTCAACTAAAATCCATGCATATCTGTAGAATGCATTACAAATATTAAATTCTTAAAAAACCCTATGAACTCTTGTTTTTTTTATCTCCCCCATATCAAACAAGGTGTAACTTGATCATCACTTCAAAAAGTAAACATTGGTTTCTAGAGATCCTGTTGCTTTCCATGAAAAGAAAGAAGTCAGAAACACACACCTGTGCACACAGGGCTTGGAAGCTGAAGGTAGTTGAGCCTCATGGGGAAAGAGCAGTTCTTCCTAAGAAATCATGCTTTAAAGGCTTCAAAAAGTTTTGGGGAAGGTGCAGCATTTCATAGAAAGGTTAGCTCATCCCAACAGGCACCAGCTCTTCACACAAGAGCCAATGTCCAGTGGGATGAGGATGCAGAGATCAGCCAGAGGATGAGATCTGGGATTATTATTATAGTATTACTATATGATCACTGTGCCATACACAGAAATTTGGGTTGGATGCTGTTTGAGGCAGAAAATGGACCAACCTGATAGCTCTGCTGGAGCTCAACATCTCTACAAACACCATTCCAGCTCAGCCCCGAGGCTCAGCTCGCAGAGTAAAGCATCTTCATTGGGTTCTATGTAATGGCATGAATTGAAAAAAGATGAATAAGGGAAAAAAAAAGATAGAAAAATTTAGCCTGAGAGCTGGCTTTGCTGGAAAAATAGCTGTGCTGCTGCGTGGCTCCGGGTGGGAAGGCATGGGTTCATTAGGAGAGTGGCTGCTGCTGATCCTGGGCAGCAGGAAAAGCCACTGAGCTTTTTATTTTGCCCTCCCAATGCGAAGCTGCCTGATCCCAAGAGGGGAAACCACAACCTGCACAGCTGTGCTGACTTCACATGAGTTATTGGAGAGGACGAGCACAACATTCCTGGAAGCAAAGCAAACACTCCTTCCAGGTTATCAGGGACACAATCATTCCAACAAAGGAGCTTTAAATGCAGAAAAGACTGTTTAGGCCCAAACCACAGAGACTGACAAAAACCACCAGAGATATGGCACGATGGCCTTGAGGAAACAGTTCCAGGTTTTAGCGACGCCTTTTGCCGATATTGGATACGCGGACGCAGACGGACGCATTCATTTATTTTTTTTTTTGCCACTGAATTGCAAAGGCAGCGAGAAGGTAACTCAGTACAGCCAGGAGTGGGGCAGGAGCCAGACTGCAGTGCATGCAGGCATGAGGTGTCCTCGTGCACACCTGAGTGTGTGCACGTGCATGCTCGTGAGTGGGGTGAGTGTGCCGGGGGCAGAGAGGCAGTTTGGAACAGGCTGAGCAGAGCAAACCGCCGCTGCCTTCTTTCCCTGCAGGGTTGTGGCCTGGGGTGTCCTGCTCTCCCAGCTGCCCTGGTACCACGATCCCCCCGTATCCAAAGCCATAAACCAGCCGAGTCCAAAGGCTGTGGCCGCTCAGGAGTGGTCCCCGTGGTGCTCAGTCGCTGAGGACAGCGCCCGGCAGCTCGTTCGTTAGCGTGTGCCAGCGCTCGATTTTCTTGTCCTTGTTTTTCAGGCAGTCGAACCAGTGCTTCAGCCGCTCCCCTTTGGCATTGATTCCTAACACGACTCCACCTTGGGGAGACACAGAGAGAGGGAGAGGTGGGGGGGGGGAAACATCAGCCGTGTGAGGGATGCTGTGGGATTCCGAGGGATGCCAAAGGATGCTGGGGGCACACTGGGGGATGCCAAAGGATGCTGAGAGATGCCAAGCAATGCTGGGGGATGCTGGGGGATGCCAAAGGATGCTGAGGGATGCCAAGCAATGCTGGGGGATGCCAAGGGATGCCAAAGGATGCTGAGGGATCTGAGCGATGCTGGGGGATGCCGAGGGATGCTGAGGGATGCCGAGGGATACCAAGAAATGCTGTGGGATGCTGAGGGATGCCGAGGGATACCAAAGGATGCTGGGGGGACACTGGAGGATGTCAAAGGATGCTGAGGGATGCCAAGTAATGCTGAAGGATGCCAAGGGATGCCAAAGGATGCTGAGGGATGCTGAGGGATACCAAGCAATGCTGGGGGATGCCAGTGGATGCTGAAGGATGCCAAGCAATGCCAAAGGATGCTGAGGGATGCTGGGGGATGCCGAGGGATACCAAGAAATGCTGTGGGATGCGGAGGGATGCTAAGGGATGCCAAGCAATGCCAAAGGATGCTGAGGGATGCTAAGGGATACCAAGAAATGCCATGGGATGCTGAGGGATGCCAAGCAATGCCAAAGGAAGCTGAGGGATGCTGAGGGATACCAAGCAATGCTGGGGGATGCCAGGGGGACACTGGGAGATGCCAGAGGATGCCAAAGGATGCAGGATGATACAGCCATTCTCACAGATGCCATGTGATGCCACGGCCTGATGTGACACATGGGCAATCAGTCCTAGCCCATCTCCCCCACCTCCTCGTGGATGTGATCTGGGACCTGTCCCAGGCAGCTTGTCCCTGTGCCAAGAGCTCACTGCAATCGCAGCAGCTGTCACAGATACTGGGCACTTGTTAGTGATAAATCACAGCGACCAGTAACAAAATCACAACAAGCTCAGGTATCCAACAGAGATAAATGAAACCTCCCTGTTAAACCTGGTTTGTGTTCAGAGGAAAAGATCTGAAAACAGAAGGGGAGAGGGAGACATCTCCCTGTTTGGGAGCTCCTTGCATGGGGGATGTCTGTGTGGGAAGGAGGCTCAGGTGCAGGAGAGGGATAAAAGCAGAACCAAAACCCAGCAAGGGGATGGAGAACAAACCAGGAGGCTGGAGAAGTGCAGAACAGCAGCAGATGAAAAAATAAGAGGCAGATAAACAAAAAAGAGGCCAAGGAAACCTTCTGGAGTACCTCACTCACCTATGAAATCATTCGATTTCCCAATATCATAGTCCCACACGGTGACTTCTAAGGTCTTTTTTGCCAGGTCACCGTGTTTTATCTCATAGCAGAACTCCTGTGGGGGAGTGGAGACACAGTCAGGACAATCCAGGGGCTCCATCCTCCTCCGTGGGCTGCTGCTCTTTACCATCCACAGGGAACCCAACCCAACCCCAATCCCTCACCTAATAACTGAGGTGGGGAGAGTTAATCTTTTAAGTCCGAGGACTAAGAAAAGCCCCTTGGTGGGAACCACAGCCGTTGCAGACTCACCTCATTGAACTCTGGGTTCAGTGTCTTCTTCTTCACTGCTGTCTTGTGCTTTGATTTTTTGTCCTCGTCTGGTTTCAAGTAACTGCAATGAAATCAAAGCAGCCCCATCACACAGAGGTCCCAGTGAGGAGGGCAGGAGGCCACAGACAGGGACATCTGTGGCAGTGGGACCAACCCGAGTGAGGCAGGGTGAGGTGGGTGACTGAGCCCCCTGAACCTGGAGCTCCCTTTCCCCTGTCTTTCCCTGCTGGGCATGGCTGGGAAGAAGCAGCATTTCCCCACATCAGCACTAGGGAGTCGTTGGCTGCCATCAGAGATTATCCCATCTCCAGGCCCTAGGGGACACTGGCACTGCGCACATGCTCCCAGTTCCCCAAAACAATCACTTCCAGCACAGGACCAGTCCAGAGTTGGGACTGTGCAACTGGTCTGCAGTTTGCTGGAGAGCAAACAAAATTAAAGTGCCACCAGGCAGAGAGGGCATCTGAAATCTGGGCCAGGCCAAAGTCAATCCATCATGGTTTCATGCTGGTGCTGTGTCTTTAAACATCAGTTCTGCTTCCTCATTACACTTTCCAGATCTTGCTCATTATTTAAAAATTAGGGCTTGTACTGAGAAGCATCACTTGTCTATCTGCTCTGATCACACCTCTGCATCTCCTGCAGATGGCACAAGGGACACCCAAAACCAGCTGGGTACAACAACAGGGACTGGGGTACATCAGAGCCCTGAGGAGCATCTAAAAAAGCTAGAAGGGATTTTTATGCAAACACTTCCACACCTAAAGAGCAATTAAATAGGGAGGTAAAAGTGTGCTGCCATAAACTCCATTACTGGGCTCACAGGTGTGGCTGGTGATCAGAGAAAGGTTGGACTCTGTGATCTCAGAGGTTTTTTCCAACCTAAAGGATTCTGTGATTCTGTCTATCCCAGTAACTCTGCCTGAAATATCATCCCTGAAAGTGCCCAAGTTTGGGTCAGCGCAGTGGGAAGAAGGATGTGGGATGGGCACAGGAGGTGCTGATGGTCCTTCCCTGCCATGTCCCCTCTGCTTTGCAGAGAGTGAATTTGGAAAATGCCATGTTCCAAAAAAACCCAGGAACTGCAGTGATGCAGGGCCTGTCAGCAAACCACCACCTTCCTCAGCATCCCTGAACAGCCCCTGGCTGCCACCAGTTCCCTGAACTGCTTGGGTGAGGCTGAGCTGCAGCAACCCATTACAGTCATTGGAATGACTCTGTATTTAATATTGCTGGTGTTTTTCCAAAGGTGTTCCCAGTAATTTACATTGGGAATTGTCAGCAGGACCTGTAAATGTGCCCTCGGCTCTGTGAATGGGACCCTGGAGTCACCAGAGCCATGATTTGCCATTAAAATGCTTACCTAATTACACACACATTTTAATTAGAGCTTTTCCAGAGTGTGAGGTGGAGGCTGGGGCTGGGAGCTGGGCTGGGAACCCCTCTCCCTTGGGACCTGGGGAAGGGGGAGATTACCTGCCCATTCCCTGGGGCTGGGAGAGGAATACCTGCACCCCAGTGCCACCTAACCCAGCATCCATCCCCATCCTGGCAGGGACACTGCAGACTTCAAAGGGAAAAGCCTGGGAGTGCCACTGGGAAGAGAAGCAGAGGCATCTGCAGGTGCTGAGTAAGGTCTAGGATCATCAGGCACAGGCACCATCCCACTTGAGGGATATCCATCCCCACACTGCCAGGTGAGACCCACCACCCAACTGTACCTCTCTACTCTGGGCCACCAGTTCCATCCCCAGACCCTCTCCCAGGGCAGTGCTGAGCCTGGCAGTGGGCACCACGGCCCCCTGGCTGCTGCCAAACCAGCAGGGATGGGGTGTGAACAGCCACACACCACCAGGCAGGTCCTGCTCCCACCTTAGCAGGAAGCTCTGCAAAATAATTGCCAGGGAATAACACACACTCCAGGCAAAGGCAAGCGGCTGGCGTGACGCCCTCATTTGCATCTCCTAATGAGATCAATTAATTTCCACTACAGGGAGAAGGGACAGCACAGCTCTGCCAAGGGCTGGAGGGAGCTGTGTCTCACCTGGCAGGAGCAGCACTCACGTTTTGACGTAGGGGTCGGAGTAGCCGTTGGCATCCATGGCAGCCAGGTGGGCACAGCGGATGATGCCCACCAGCAGCCCCTGCTTCTGAGAGCTGTACTTGAGGGAGATGAGGATCCGGCCACGCTCCTCCAACGACTTGTCCTCTGTTTTATCTATCTGGGGGAGGGAATACACCCAGTCTGGGGACTGCTCTGGGACACCCAACAGCCCCAGCACGAGGGATGCTCTGCCCATCCCTGAGCATGTTGGAGGGTTCAAACCACCCCACACTCCCACAGGGCACAGGGAGAAGCTGCTGTGTGGTGGGGATGTGGCTCTGAACCCCCCACTCACCGGCAGCTGCTTCTCTAGGCAGATGCTGAAGTTTTTGGTCTGGTTGGGTTTCAGTTTCTTCAGTGGGATCCGTGTCTCCCCGATGAACTCGTTGTGGCGGAACTTGTCCTCATCACAGACTGAGATCCTGCAACAAACAAAGGGTGAGTAGGGCCACCAGGGGCAGGGGAGATAAAGGTCTCACACTGCAGGTCCCCCCAGTGAGGGGACAACTTCGAGGCCACAGTTCCCCGAGCAAGTGATGGGGCATCTCCCCTGCAGGCAGCTGGAAGGCATCTGTCTACTGCCAGGGCAGTTTACAGTGTGAGTCAGTGTCTAACCCATGGCCTAGCCCAGGTGCTGTTGGAAAAACAACCTTAAACATCCTCATGGTTCTTCCATTAGAACACCAAAGTCATCAGTGATTAAGCAAAAGTGTTCAGAGCTGCCACCTACTCCCCCACCGTGCAGACAACACCATGAGAGGTGTACAGACCCAGCCCAGGGAAAGCAGCACACCTCAGCCAGGTGAAGCTTTCCCAGCCCTGGAAATGCAGCCTGTGTCCAGGGCACTGACAGTGGAGCTGAGCACAGGCTGTTTGCCATGAGAAAGCTATAAATGCCTTTCCCTCAGTTGGCAGCTAATGAGTCATTCTCTGCTGCTTCCCAACCCGCTCCGGGCGTCAGGAGAGATGACAGAAGAGCAAAGTTAGTGCTTGCAGGAAGCCTCTGCTCACAGCTCCTGAAATCCCAGAGAGGAGCCAGGAGGGTGGTGCTGCCTTGAGAGACCAGTTGTTCCCCAGCAGAGCTGTCTGGACCTGGCGAAAGGGAAAACCATCCCGGCCCCCTCCTCCAAAGGGAGCATCCCCCATCCTGCACTCCCACTGGAGCCACAGACTGGCTGGTCTCCCTGCCCATTAAGGAAAGGCATTTCCCTTCCCTTCTCTCCTTTCAAATCCAATTTCCTAGTGTTATCTCGTCCTTTTGCTACAAGAATTTTTTTCCTCTTTCACCCAATCCTGTTGGTGCCCATTTCCCACCAGCAGCACCTCTGCCTCCAGAGATTATGCAGGAAGGGGAGGAAGTAATTAAAGATAAATAGTGCCCTGTAATCCCACCTGAGAGTAACTAATTACACACCACACCTCTGGCCTGCAGTACCTGGATGGGTTATCCTTATCCATGGATGGATGATCTATAGATGCTTTATCTGTGAATGGTTTCTGCATGGATGGTTTGCCCATGGATGGTATGACCACCCTCATCCTCACAAGTGAATAATAAGGCAGCAAGAAATCCATGGGATGGCTCAGTGACACTGCACAAGGACTGTCAGGTTTGGAAAAACATAACACAAGCAGGAAGACAGGGAATGCTGCTCTCCAGAAAACTAGCTGGATGCAGCGTTACTATAGATACCCACGAAAAAACCACCCCACCACAACAGTAAAATCCTCAAAGAGAATCTCAAATGCAGGCACAATATTCCCAGTTTCCCTTCCTCCTCTTGCCTTTCTTTTAAAGAACAAAACCAAAAAAGGAGCAGCAGCAGTGGAGACGATGTGGCATTTGCCAGGCGGTGCAACCCCATGTCCAGCTGGACAAAGCTGGGGATGGAGAGGGAGTGCAGGGATGCAAAGGATGAGCTGGAGAGAAGGGAGAGGAGGAGACAGGAGGGGACATGAGGAATTGCCAGCCCAGGGTTGGTTTGCACACCCAGCAATCACAGAGCAGTGCACTATAGGACACTCAGGGAAGCAGGACTTGGGCTGGTTTTCCTCTCTTTAAAAATGCAAGTAACAACATCTCCTGACAATGTCTAGATACACCCCAAAAGAACAGCAAGATCCTGAACACAATGTCCTGTATGCTGTGAAGCTCAGGAGCACCCAGGATGGGCAGAAGTCCAAGGAAGAAAAAGGCTGGAAAACTTCAGTGGTGGTGGCAGGGAGAGCATTTCCAGTGCTGCACAGGGAGCCCCTCTTAATGCAGAACCCTGTTCTTTAGGAAGTAGTTTTTGGCACATCTGCAAGACCTGGGAACTGCCCCAAGCAACACAATGGATCTGGAGAGACCTTCAGGTCTCTCCCAGCTCTGTTTTCCTTTTGGCATCTCCAGCCACCTCTCAGGTGCCCATCTGCATGTGATGCCCAAAAGGTTTCATGTCAGCCCTGCCAGTGCCCCAGGCTCAGCCCCTAGCTCCAGTCCCTCTGCCTGGCTGCAGTTCATCCCCAGCAGGATGGTATTTTTAGCTGGGCAGGCTGGCAGTGCCCTGGCCCATCAGTGAAGGCAGCGAATGTGAGTCAGCTGAGCAGGCAGCTCTGGCCCTAGCTCTCCCTTTGAAAAAAGACATAATGCAATTACACCAGCTTGAATTTTATTATGAGAAATCAATGTGATGGAATTTTTATGCCTTGGGTAAGAAAATCAGCTCCATGACAAACAGCACGAGACGCCTCTGGCAGCCTCATTCACCTGCCACCCCGAGCCTGTAACTCCACAGCATCACTTCTCCCTCACTAATCCCTCCAGCTCAGCATTTAGTTTGACACCTTTCACTGAGGGGTCCCTGATCTTTTAGTTAAGGGCTGTGAAAACCACCTTGGAAGAAAACTAAGCAGCAAATGAACAATCACTGCTCATTAAACTTATTCTCCCTCCTACTCAGCCCGAGCTCCTGGGTTACAGTCCTGAGTCACTGCACAGCTCCAGCAGCTCTGCTCTGCTGACTCACAGCTTCTGCTTGCACACATGTTCCTCCAGCCTCTTTCCCAGCATGGTAAAGGTAGAATGAGGGTCAACAAGGACCCTTCTCCACAATGCACATTCATGTAATAGGCAGCAGAGCCTGAGGATGCAGCTCTGTGTCTAAGATCCCTTACGGTCCCTATAGCAACTCAGGAGGATCTTGATGAGGAGCAGACACACAAGTGATGATGGTTTGGCTTAAGGACAGGCAACACCTGGCAAGGAGGGAAAATAGCCTGTCTTGGGACTGTCCAGCTCTTCAAAAACCAAAAGGAGGACTCAGTGCTGGGCTCCATCACAAAAAGCCTCAAAGCCTGAGCACAGGCACCACATCAGAAGTGAGATGTAATTATGAGTGAACCTGCAGTTCTGAGCAAACCTCATTCAGGAGTAAAGCAGTTCAAGACCCCAAACCTGGAAGTGTCTGCACTATGCCTATTAGTCCTGCTCAAATACTATTTTCTGAATAGTATATTTAATGAGTCATGATGTTTGTCAAACACATGATTAAACAAAGAATTCCTGGCATTCGTGGGCTAGCTGAGTAGCACATGAATTATGCATCACTTCGCCAATAGATCTGGATATGAATAATTGTATCCAATATCTGGCCAGCTCTGAAATTTATTACCAGTACAATTTATTTATTGCATATTACATGTATTATTTAAATGTAGGCAACTGTGTTCTGCCTATTCCAGTTTTTCCTGCAGCATTTCTCTGCCTCCCCCTGATTCCCACCAGCAGAGATGGTGCCCAAGTTGCTGCAGCATGGTCCTGCTTGGGCCACAGCTGGGAGTAGAGACTGCAGAGTGGCATTTCCCCCTCCAGTACTGCCAAAGAAACTGTCCCCAAGCCTATCCATCCATGCCTTCCAAGCCTGGAGTCTTTCACATGGCTCTGAACTTGCCTTCTTCCAGGATAGTGGGTGGTTTTGCTGCTGTTAAGCCTTGGGCTAGACTCAGGGATATTTAATTCAATGAATGGATGAGACCTTTCGAGATCCTCCCACCTGCTGCACTTGACGAAAATCCCAAGTATCTGGTGATTTTGAGGGGGTTGATTCATTAACAAAATGTTGCCTTGCCAGCACAATTAGCTGGGCTGCCTTCACCTCTCCTTCGCCCTGCTTGGGGAGGTGAACCCCAACAGCTCTCAAGGTCTAGCATAGAAAAATCACTTGACCAGCTCAGATGAGCCCACAGAGGGATGAGGGATGTCAGGGCATGGTGCTGGGGAGCTCAGGCAAGAAGGGATGCATTACCCAGCTCTGTAGGATGTCCCTACTCTGGCTGCTTTTCTGCTTGTCCCCCGAGAGGACTGAGGCACTGGCAGAGTGTCCCATGCCAGTACCACCCACCACCCCATGCTGGACACATCCCACCAAGAGCCTAGGTGGGCAGGGAAGATTTCTGGGTGCTTTTCCAGCTTTTCTGCTGCCTCACACTCTCCAGGCTGCAGAGAGGCGAAGGCTGGCGGCAGCTTTGATCTCTGCCGTTATTTTTACATTAAAGAGACTTTGCAATCATGTTCCCTGCCCCTCCGTGGATCTCAGCACCGAGGAGGCACCCAGGGAATGGTCACCACCAGGAGCAAGGGGAGCATCACTCATGCTCTTTCAAGTACCACCAGCTGCCTCGTCTGATTAACACAGGGAAAACCAGGATCTTCATGGCTTTGAAGTTGGCTTCTCCTGAAGGAGAAGGAGATATTTTGACAAGATGATGGGTGGGTGAAGAGAAGCACCAAAGGCAGGACAATATATGGCTCCTGGTGGCATGGAGAGGCTCGTGGAAGAGAAACAGATCAACCCACACCACAATACTGAAAGATGATCGGTTTGGATTGGATATTAGGAAGAAATTCTTCCCCTGTGAACTGGCACAGGTTGCCCAGAGAAGCTGTGGCTGCTCCATCCTTGAAGTGCTCAAGGATGTGTTGGATGGGGCTTGGAGCAACCTGGTCTATGGGAGGTGTCCCTGCCCATGGCAAGGGGTGGGACAAGGTGAGCTTTAAGGTCCTTCCAACCCAAACAGTTCTGTTATTCCATGATTCTCCAATTCAGGCAGTAGCTAAATGAGGAGGTACAACATCTCCCAAATTTTCTCCCTTCTACTCAGAGAACAGTGTTTGAGAAGAAGCAAATCCAAGGAAGAAATTAAAATAGAAGATGGGTATTTTCCTACCTTCTGTCTGGTTTTCAAGAAGTGGTGGAGAGGATTTTGATCCTTAATTATCACCTAATTCACCAGGGTCAACTACCAGCATGGCAAGTGCAGTCTTTGTGCAGAGTGCTGGAGATCCTGAGAATCTCCATGCAAAGAGGCAGTTCTGATGGGGATGAGCTTTGGAGGGGGCACAAGGAGCCCTGTGGCAGTTTGTGGCCACACTTGGCTCCCTGTGAAGCTCCACAACACCCAGGCAGGACAGAGGATGTGCTGAAGCAGGATTTCTGTGGAGAGAAGGGCCAATCCAGCCCTGCACACATTTCTTCACATCCCCTGGCCACTGAGCATCCCTCACCTCCCTGCTGCCTCAGGAGGGTGTGATCACAGCCCTTGCCCAGGGAGAAGCAGCTCCCAGGGCCCTGGAAAGGTGGGGGTCGAGCCCTTCTGCTCCCTGTCGCCTCCCAGCAAACAACTCAGCCGAACATCTCTCTACAAACCGATTTCCACGCTTGAGGAGGCTGAAAACTTCAAAGCCTGGAGTGAAAAAATACCCACCAATAATAAAATAACGAACTGGAGGCTTTCCAGCCCCATCAGCCTGCAGCACTTTCAGCATGACTAATGTTTTCCAAGTGAAATAATAATCCACGGCGCTAAATTTCCCATCTCTATGCACACTGCAGACAACAGGTGGGCTTTGCCCTGATTCACCCCTGAGCAGGACCTGTTTCAAGGCAGCTTTATGCTCTTGTCATGGGGAAAAATCACTAACTCTCAGGGCACATGCAAATGAGGAGGGTGGGATTCCAGCCACGGAGATGACAAAGCCCTAACTCCTTGGAGTAGGATGCAAAATCCTCCTTTGTTTGACAGAAGATCTTACAGTAAATCCTGCAGTGCAGTCCCAGATCAGCACAAGGATGGAGTGGCTCAAGCTCCGAGTGGAGTGCAGCACTCTCCCCATGCAGGATCCATCTGCAGGCTCCGTGTCACTCCCTGTCCTCATCCAGGTGGGACAGTGGCCAAGACATGGAAATCTTTGCATACACAGAGCAGTGTTTCCTGCAGAGCATCTCTTTAACTTGCCTGGCCCCACCACTCTGCCCTTGCCCACATCCAGCCCCACATGACATCTCCCAGACCTTGGGAGGTGCTGCCAGAGATGCTGAATGCACAGAGACTGAACCAAACCAACAGAAGAGAATAAATATAAATGCTCTTCATTTAGTTCAACACTAATTCACAGATGCCTCAAAAGGGGCCCAGAACTTCCCTAGGGAGATTTTCTCAGCAGGACATGACTACAAAGCCTCAACACATGCCCATGAGAGCTGGGCATGAAGAGGTTAAAGACAAACAACACCACCTCTGCAGGCAGGAGCCAGCCAGTGAGTTATGAAGTTAATGACAAAGCAGGAACATGCTCCTCACTGGTTATTCCAGCCCAGGCTGCCTGTAAATCACACACTGGTCCCTGCAGGGGTGATGGATGTGTGCAGGGCACAAACTATCAGCTTTGATGGGTGATAACTCTGCCCTGCTGTGCCACGAGCAGCACCAGGACCTTCCCATGGGGCTGGGCCATGGGAGAGTCCCCAGGAGCTCCCCTGGGAATCATCACTGGGATGAGGAGGGATGCCTGGCACAGTCCTGAGGGGAGTGCTCAGCACCCTGCTCACCCCCCAGGCCTTACCGCAGGGTCTTGCGGATCATGTCCTCGTCGGTGATGCCGTAGTAGGTGAGAGTCTCATTCCACGTGGGGTTCAGAGTGTTACGCAGCGTTTTGGTTCTCAGCTTGTTTGCCTGGAAAAGCAAAGGAGATGATGGTCAATGGGACTCAGCCCCAGCAGGTCATTTGGGATGGGCAAGGAGTGGGGAGAAAAAGAAGCCCAGTTTGGAGATGAAGGGGCAATGGGTGCCATCACCCTTCTGCCCCAGTGCTGGAACCAAGCCAGACCTTGATGGGGTGGCCCAAATCCACCTCAACTGCAGCAATAACCAGAGACACAGCAATTCACTCATTTGCAAAGAAATCCAACCTGGAAACAGCCAGCAAAATGGGAGCCTTGGCAGAGCACAGAGTGAGGATGGGGATTTCATTTAGGCAGTAGGAGAGAGTGAGAGAAGGGGAAAAAAAAGTCTTTTCAGGTTCATTAAAAAATACCAATTTGCTGTTCTGGCTGTTTCCTTGCATTCCCACTCCCAGCACAGCTCCCAGTCCTGCCTGACTCAAAATAACTTCCTTGATACGCATGTTGTCAGCACCAGCAATTCCTTCCAGTGCTGCAGCTCTGCAGAGCAAGGTTTGTGTCCTCCCTCTGGCATGGATGGGGTATCCTGGCACATTCCCACCCTCCAGTTCAGGGAATATTAATCTCCTTACACCCCTAGACCTCACCTCTGTTGGGACAGGGGGAGAGAGAAGCAAAGGGCTGAGGCTGCAGATGAGGCTTCTCCACCAGCCCCCCCCAGCCTGGCACAGCCTGGCAGAGCAGCAATTTTCCCTCTAATTAGGTGTAGAGTCAGACAGCTCAATCCCTGCCTCAGCTGCTGTTGGGCTTAAGGAACTCTCAGGACATCAATACTTCAAATTTGTCTCTTGGGTCTTTCTGGGAAGCTGCTACATTCCCCACTTTGAGTTCACCAGCCCTGAGCTAAATGTGAGTGGAATGGGAAGCATGGGATGAAGAAAAGAGCTCGTCCTTGCAGTGGGGCAAGTTTGTTGACACATCCTTTCCCCACCAGAAGAACCCCAAACAACAACCTCTTCCAGACAACGAGTTGCAGCCAACAGCTGGAGCTGCTAGTGCAGCAGAGCCCTCGAGGGACCCTGGCACAGCTTCTCACTCCCAATGCTTTGTGCAAAGCAGCAGTTTGCTCTGGCACCCACTGCCTGCTCAGACCCACAGGTACCAGATCCTGGGGCTGGGACTCTGGGGGTCAGGAAGGAAAGTGGGTTTGGCCAAGGTGGTGATGTGATGGGCATCACCCAGCAGCTAATACTGCCCTGGGCAAGGGCCATGAATTACATCAGAGTTGCTGAGCTCTGGGAGTGCCTTTTTCTCTCATTTGGAATGACTCAGGAGTCAGTAACTAGCTCACGTGGAGACCTCTGCATGGGGAATGAATCCAGCCCTGCATCCCACAGGTGTCTGAGAGCCCAAGACAGAAACACCAAAGGGACTCAGGGACTGTCCTGCTGCTGGAATGATCGTACATCCATGATCCCACCCAGCCCTGCTCTCATTTCTCAAATCAGCTTCCAGCAGTTCTGCTTGGGAACATGGAGCAGAGACAGAGGGAGGTGGGGACAAGGAGAGGATCCCCCCCTGGCTGCTCCAGGCATGTGGAGTCTGCAGCTCCTGCACTCCCCTCAGCTCAGAGCTCCCCTCCTGCCTCTCCATAACCTCCAGCAGAAATGCTAATCAATGCATTTGCAAAACATGGAAATGACAGATAATATCGCTGATGAAAGCGCTCCCAGCTCTCCTATTTCCAGCGGAACTTGAAATGTGGTTAAAAACTCCCTCTACCGCCCTGAACATTATGAATTAATTCAACTGAACTGTAACAAGTAAATACACCTCCCCAAAAAAAAGGTCTTTCCTTTCGTGTAGAATAAGAGTGCAATTAATATTCCTAACACATACATTTAGCATTTAAATTCCACATCCCCATCAGTTACACCAAGCTCTCACTACACATCAATATCTTTAATTACTCTTCTCTCCAACAAGTGCTGAACCTAAGGAGATGGAAATATTTCCCTTATGATTTATACTCTGTTTTATTATGATCTGAGGGGTTTTAAATGTAAGAGAAAAAGGCAAAAAAAAAATAAAATAGTCTGGTATGTTTATAGCTTCAGATCATTTCACTTGGTGTTTCCCAGGGGTTCCTGGAGCACAGTGTTCACACCTCTTGCTCCCAACATGAGGAGTCAGGGCTGGCACCCAACTTCCAGCCAGTGGTTTCCCTGAGAGGCATTTTATACCCCTGTAAGGGTGGATTGAGCCCCAGTTCTACCTCCTGCTGTCTCTGAGCATCTCTTACTCAACAGCCAGGCAGGAGGCTCAAGGTCTGGCTGCAGTAGCTCCTGGATGAGGAGCTTCTCCCTGGAGAACCTCCCAGGTCTGATTTCCAAGGAAAAAGCCCAGCCCTAGGAAGGGAAGGAGAAGTGAAAAGACATCTCACCTTACTGGCTCCGGGAAGCAAGTGCAATTTGACATATGGATCAGCCAAACCATTATGGTCCATCGGCTTCAGGCCCTGGAGAGGGAACAGCAAAAAGCAGGAGTCAGGATAAGGGTGGGATGCTGTGCAGGCAGGGTGGGCCCTTCCACAGACGCCTGTTTCCCTGGGATATCACTGGTCTCCATGGAGTAAAACTGCAGGATTGGGGAAGGAGGAGAGCATGGCTGGGGAAGGATCTGCTCAGCATTCCAATGCCCTTGATGGTGCCTGTGGGAAACTTCTCACCTGCACTTGGCATCGGCCACAAAGCATCGCTCCTCTCTTCCAGCAGTCAGCTCTGCCATCCTCATCACAATTAATTTGGGGGCTAAGTAAATTAGCACAGTGATTTCCAAGGTTTGAAATTACAGGTTTTTTTCATTTAATACTTGCTCATGAGCAAACACACACCTCTGCTGTTGTGGTGCTACTTCTAAGTGCTCCCAGAGGGTGTGATAGCACCTACCTACTCCGAGTTATTAAGGCACAGCTGAAGGAAGAACAGCTTCAGGCCAGTGGGAGGCTGGTGCCAGCCAACTGCTGGGGTGTTGGCAGGGAAATCTGGGGGTACCAGAGCACAGACAAAAGCAAACACTCGCTCTGGCCATTCCTTATGAATTTTCTATGAGACCCTCACAGCTCTTAAAGGATGACGTGGATCATGTTTGTTATAGTGATGCTCTGGAGCTGATCCTGCTTTGGGCAGAGGGAAGGGACAAGCTGTGCCTCTGTTCCTCTTCTAAACAACCTGAAAATTCTCCAAAGGTGATGCACAAACCCAGCCCAAAGCCATAGCTGCACAGGCTGCATGGAAACAAATTCCACAAGGCAGAGAAACTGCAACTCAAGAGCATGAAAAATGGAATCTAATTTTTACCAGCCCTAAGTAGAAATGAGAATGGCTTCATTGTGGAAGGCCTTGGATTATTTCCAGCCTGGCTGTGGGATCCCTGCAGGAGTTATGGCTGGGCTGGCTGAAGGCAATCCTCTGCCTGGATCAGAGGAGGATTTCTCTGTAGAGGTACCCATCCAACCCCAGCTCCAGCCCAGCCGTGGAGATCAGGCTGAGTGATGCTAAAGGATTTTCACACCCTTTTTCTGATGAGCAGAGCATTCAGTGCCTGGATAATGAGTGTGTGCAGCTGCCAGGGATCCATCCACCTGGCAGGAAAGCATTTGTATGGACTGCTGGTGGAATGGCTACGTGCAATGGAAATGTAATCATCAAGGCCTGGGTTTGGACAAACCAAAGAGGGAAATGCTGGGGAAATCACTTCCTTACTTCACATGGATGGAATAACTCACCCAGCCTAACCTGAAGCCTCTTGGGGTGCTCCATCCCACCCTCTCCAAGTTGCACAAATTGGTGAAGGGTCCGAGATGCTCCTGACCTTGGGAGTGTCTCTGATTTGGAGCAAGGGTTCTGCTCTGGAGACAAGCATGCTGCCCTGGGGCAAGGCAAGCCAAATGGTGCCCAGCAAAGAGGATTTTGCTTCTGAAGCAGAGCCAAAAGGACAAAAATACCAGCAGGGAATGGAGGCTAAATAGCTCTGCTTTAACTGCAGCCTCTTGGGTGATGTCCCTGGCCCAGCAGATACAGAGGATGGGGGGAAGGTTGGTTGTGGTTCCATGGACAGGCAGACAGCAGGATGGGGCTGGCTGGTCCCAGGGCTCTGGAAGGAATCATCCACACAATCTCAGGGGCACAGACTCTCCCCAGCCTTCCTAGTCAGAGGTGCCCACCTGCCTGGTACTGCACAGCAAAAAAAAAATAATCAGAAACAAGAGAACAGATTCCCATGAAAATGAATGGAGAAAGAGAGGCAGCTCTGTAATTCACCCATCAATTCAGTTCAATTAAATTACCTTCTGAGGAGGCTATTAAAGGCTTTTTTAATAGATGTGCTATGGAAGATAGAGTGACAGGAGCCTGGAAAATGGTTCCTAATGTCACGTCTACCTCCCTCCCATGTCACTTGATATGAGTCTGGCACACAGATGAATGTAACAGGGCTCTGCCCTGCAAAGCTGCTTTCGTGGGAGCTCATCCCTCCCAGCGACCCACAGGGTGACAGCACTATTGCTTCCCCTGTGTTGAGAAACTGCCAGGCTAAACCTGCTCCAAGAGAACCAAGAGGCAGAGAGAGAGCACAGGGCTTATACATGGAGGCAAAGTCTTCCCTCGGATCCAACTAGTCCTGCTGTCAGGACTGATTTATGGTGCTGTGCATACAGCACAGACGACAGAGCTGAGACTGAGTTTCATCTTTTCCCTTCCTCTACCCAGCCCCAAAATCTCTGCTGCAATCCTACAGAGACCTACAGCTCCCTGCATCCCAGCTGCTGCCAGCTGCTCTCCGTGCCAGTGACATTTAGCTAATCAATAGGATTTAATTACAAGTTGGGCTAATCGGGCTGCCGATTAACACCACGCGAGAGGCATAGAGAAATCACACGAGATGGATCCGTTCCATCATTCACCCCACAACGAGTTGCCTGCCCAGTGAGCAGGCAAAACCTGCTCAAAACCCAGCCTGGATACCTCTTCCTGAGCCAAGGCATCCCATTCTGAAATGGGGCAAACTGCACTTCCACCCTGACTGCCCAGAGATTTGGGAATTTGAGACTGCACAGCTTTGAGATGGGAATTTCCCTGCAGTGCTAAATATTTATGACTCAATCCATAAGTAATGCTCAGTGCAGACCTTCAGCACTCGCTTCTCTTGGAAGGGAGAGAGCATCCAAATGCTTGGCAGTGTGGAAACTCCCAGGCATTTTCTGGCCATTGGCACAGGGAGAGCAGCCTAAGGATGCTCCCAGGGGCAGCAACAGCCTGGCATGGCCTGCTTGGAGTCAGGAGCTGCTGCACTGCTGCCACACAGCCCGCTGAGGCTCACTCTGGGCATCTTCATCCCAAAAGGAGGAGACCAACAGAGCTACAGGATAGCACACCCCTCTAGCTCTCCTATAGCAGCTTATCATCTCGCTCCATGGAGCAGGTTGAGCTCTGTTTCCCACACATGACAGTACAGATCAACACAACCCCAGGGGAGAAAACAAGGGCTCATGCAGGGCAGCAGGTGAGAGAAGAGAGCCCTCCTGCCAGCTGGACATATGATTGCTCCTGCAGTCCAGGAACAGGCTCCTGCACCACCCTGATTCATCCTCCTATCGATCTGAGCTGAGCTGCAACATGTCTGAGTTCAGCTGTGCCTGAAGTGTGACCGTCAGGTATGGCAGAGCTGCTGCCAGGACTCAGGGCCATTAGTGAGAGGTGACTGCTGGCAACCTGCCTGCTCCTGCCTGCTCTCCTCTGCTCCTGCCTTCTCCTGCCTGCTCCTGCCTGCTCTCCTCTGCTCCTGCCTTCTCCTGCCTGCTCTTCCCTGCCTGCTCCTGCCAGCACAGGGTCTGGAGAGCAGCATGGTGGCTGCCCCACCTGCCAATACTGTACCCTGATGGCACCTGCTGAAGGCAACATCCAAGCATAGGACTGTCCTAAGAAGTTAAGGCTGGAGGTGGATGCTCCTTAAGAGTGCTGGAATCTTTACTAGCCCTGCAAAGGGAAGACAAGGATGTGGACTAACAGCAGCTCTGCACCTAATCCGTTCATTTCCAGGAGGAACTGGGACCCTCAGTACCCTGGGTAGAGCCTGCAGAGATGCCAGATCCTCACTGCCTTCCAAAATCATCTCCCAGATATCCATCTGTCAGCTGCTCATAATAGGGAAACTAAGGCACCAAGCACCTTGCTCCTGCTGTAACCTGTGACTACCAGCTTCCACATCCATAGCTCCCCCAGGAAAGCAAATCTCCTTTCAATCCCCATTGCAGCTCCATCCAAAACTTGGGATTCAGGTTGACCTGATGGTCTGGAAACACCCAGCATCTCTCAGATCCTCCTGTGAACCTACACCAAGAAACACCTCCAATGTCCCCAGGCACAGCACCAGGGTAAATTCCCACATGGAGTGACTATCCCAGCTGCCTGCTGATGGCTGCACAGCAAAAAATGGGTGGTGGAGCAGGACAGGTTGGATTGCAACTGCTGCTGGTGCCTCCAAGAGCCTGCTCCTCCCTTTCCTGCTCCCCAGGAGCTGATAACAGGACTCACGAGGGACATCAACAGATATAAAAGTGCTGGAGATTAAAATGAATAGAGAAAAGCCACCAAAAAAAAAAAATCTAAAGGGAGACAGAGGGTTGTTTGGGGTTATCAGAGAGAAAGAAAAACATGTCTCACGTGGCTAAAATAGTCCAGGTTTTAACGGCTGCTGGCAGTGACTGAGGCTCCAGGAGCTGTTGGAGCTGGGACATATCCTGAGGGTACTTTCCCTGGAGGCCTGAGACATGGTACCCAGGACACCCAGAGCAAGTCCAAGGGCAGTGCACATCCCAGCACTCCCCCATCACCTCCTCTACAGCACTACTGCTAACATCTACTCAGCCAGCTCTGGCTCCCACCCATGGCAGTGGGGTCCTGGCCCTTACCTTTCTGTAGTCAAGTTTTGGCAGCTTTCCCCAGGCGAGAGATGAAATGAGAGCGAGCAGATGGCAATGTAAATAAAAGAGAAAAATGGGAGAATGAGAGCAGAATGGAAATGAACAGGACTCGAGTGCTGAATGTCAAGGCAGTGAGGAAGGCTCTGCCCACCCCACGGGCAGGGGTGATGCCGTGGTACCCCCAGAGCTGTGGGATGGGGTCAGCCACCACCACTCCCAGTACAGCCAGGTGGGCACAGCAGGGACCAGGCTCTCCTTTGTCAGCCCTGTGTTTGCTCTTGCTGATGTGAGATCTATCACTTGTGGCTCACAGGTCTCTTTCCTCCCCGTCTTCCACCCACTCCAAACCCAAACAGAAATCTCCTCCTTGGCACCACTCCTGAGTGCACCAAGGGAAGCCTGACCCCGAGGCTGCTGGTGAATTCACAGGTGACAGGGAGGGAAGCAAAACCCTCTCCCTGTCTGGGAGCTGTGGGTGCTGCACTTGCTCCCCAGCCAGGAGTAGCTCTAGGTTTGCTAGGGGAGATGCCTCCACACTCACTCCCAAAGCCAAGCTTTGGTGCTAGAGGTTGTATTCCAGACAGGGAGAACTCTGGGTGTGGACGTGCACTCTCAGCACTCAGTGCCAGCACAGCACAGCAAGCACTGGAGTGGGGGCTGTAAACACCCCAGCTGCAGCTGGAGGGGAGAGGAGCACCCTGCACAGGCAAACAGCATGATCTGATCCATTGGGGCTCTGTTCACAACCCATTCTCCTGCCTTCTATAGAGATGCCCCACCCCTTGCCAAGATCTGCAGGGATTTAGGTCTTATCCCCCCAACTCACTACTGCTAGGGCCCAACTGTGTTGACCTATAGCCCTTGCTGCTCTGGTCCTCATGCTGGGTGATGGAGAGAGGAACCTTTCTGTGGGCCCAGAGGCAGAATCAGGACCTCAGTTATCTGTTTCTACTCCGAAATGTGCAAAAAGCCCCTAATTGCTTCCATCACACGGACGGCAAAGGCGCTGAGGCAGAGCACTTTGTGGCCATGATTAGCAGCATTTAAAAGAGCCATTTATAAACTGACAGCCGGGCACAGCATCAAGTAAATAACAACACTGGCATGGGCCCTGCTCTCAAAAGCTTCAAGAGCTGCAACCATCTCCTCACAGGGATGAGGAGCTGTCTCTGTACTGCTGGAAACGCCCTGAAAGGCAGGGATGGAGGGGAAGGAGGTGTTGGGATGGAAGTAGAGCTGGCAAAGGGATTGCTGCAGTCAATTTGTTAGACCCAGGGATGGGGGGACACCACACACTGCTGGATTTGCTTGGCACAGCACCTGGCTGACCTCATGGTTTTGGCCCCATAAGGCAGGACAAAGGTGGCACTTCCAGGCACAGTCAGTCCTTGCTGTTCCCATGCCTGGCACTGAGACATACCTTGGCTTTATTGATGGTGCAGTGGAGAGCATTGTTTTCTTGGTCGTAGAGCAAGCTGAAATCCAGCGTCCCCAACGTGGCTGCGAAGGAGAGAAGATGTCATTAACCTGCAGGGCCCAGCAACCACAGGCTCTTCTCTCTCTAAGCACAAAAGGAGTGGATGAAGATGCTAAAGAAATGGTTGCAGGCGTTATAAAACATAAAGCATCCTCCTGTGAGCCCTGTTATGAAACAGGGCTTCATGCTGGGAGGCTGGTGGCCATCCCCACGTTGGCTGGTGGAGCTGGCACAGCCCTGGGAGAGGAGAGGGATGAAGGGATGCAGCTCTCTCAGCATTGTGGCCAGCACAGAGGCTTTGCTTCTGTGGGTTTTGCTATGGGTCACCCCTATCCAGCAGCAGCCCCACCACAGCCAGCAGCTTCCCATCTCCCAGGAGCTGAAGGCTCTTCTCCAGGAAGATCTGGGCACGACTTGGACACAGCTGAGACCTGCTGTCAGCACATCTTCCCCCTCCAGCATCACTGGCATTCCCAGAACATGTATTTGTATACTGACACCTTCAAACAAATGAGGCACCAATGGGATCCCTTCCCAGCTCCAATCTGGCTGCAAACTGTAAATTAAACCCAGTGAGGATGGAAATACTTTTATGGTTAAACTGAAAAACACCAACAGCTTTTAATCAGCGCAGTGTTCCGTTAAGGCATCCGCAACCCGGGAATGGAAGCGATGGGGCATCTCCTGGGATGGGACACTGGGACAGGGCAGGAGACCAGAACAAAACCAGAAGAGCCTCAGCAGCAAAAGTACATTTGATTTGAGAAATTCTTTCCCTTTGGATGATCTGAGCAAGTCATGCTAATCCAAAGCAGAGGAAAAGCCTTAAAAAGACAAGCTTTCCAAAAACAAGGCTTAACCCTCTCCAAGGCTCCCAGACACAATTTGCACACCAAAGCCTGGACATGGAGCAGCATCTCCTCTGGCTCAGCTTTGCCTGCCACCAGTCTTGAACTTCCAGGGCTGCTCTGAACCCAGCAATCCTCACTTTTCCATGCCCACCTTCCCAAAAGGGGTCTGCCCTGCCACCACACAGCATCCCACCATCGTTTCCAAGGTAACTGCACCTTCCTGCTGTGTTCAGAGCATGAAAAAAACATTCAAAATATAAACCAGAACGGTTTTGCTTAATATCAAAGCAGTGTTTGCTGCCCGGGGGGGAAGTTGGACAAACTTTATGGAAGAAAATAAGGTGCTATTTTTTCCCCTGTGTTGACAGCAGCAAGGCTCCCAAGGAGGTGGTGGATATTCAGGGGGTTGAAACCTTCCTGCTGTAATTTCACAGTGATCTCCCAGCCTAAAGGCAAATGAGCTATAGGTTTGCCTGCTAGCAGAAAAAAAAATAAATCATTGCTCCAGAGCAAATATCTTGAGTTCAAAGCAGAGTAAATATCCAGAGAGATTTCTGCCAGAATAACATACCCAGCTTGCTCTGGAGCAATTTCATGGCATGTTAGCTGTTGGGTTGGGTAAGCCACAAATCAGTGGGGTTTTACCTGCCATGGGAAGAGGGAAGTGATGATACAGGGTGAGGCCAAACCTGCAGCATCTGTGCATTCTCTCTGGGTTTGACCCAAAGAGGCATTTCCAGAGCAAATCCCAGCTAAAGTGGCTCCACAAGGAAGGCAGAGCAGTGCCCCTGTGTGCACTCAGCATTGGGGAGCTCACAGGTGGCAGTGGGTGAAGTGTGAGACTCCACGGCACACAAGTGAAAGCCAAGTCAGCAAAACTCCACAAAACACACATTTTTTCACTCAAGAGCGGAAGATGAAGCCTCCGTTTTCGGAGCCTCATCATTTCCACCTGCCCTTTAATCAGCGTTTCCTGCCAGCCCCACGGCTCTGCCCTCCCGAGTTCAAGCTGTTATTTTATTTTTATCACAGAAGGGGGCCCGAGGCTCAGCCTGCTGCATTTGGCAATTTATAAAACAAATTAAAAGCTTGGCATGAAAACAGATTTCGGCCAGGAAACACTGACAAAGCCCCAGCCTGCCCCAGGGGCGAGGGCAGCGGGGAGCAAGATGGGCAAAGCCTAAAATCACTGTAACACAGCAGCAGGGGATTGTTTGGCAGGTGGGGACTCAGGTCCTGCTCTCAGCACTGGCAGTCCAAGAGCAAACCTTGAGCAGTTCCCATTCCTGTCAGGTCAGCCAGGAGGTGGGAGGGCACAGACAGGGGCACACCACTGTCCCCAGTCCTGCCAGCCTCCAGCCCTGGCTCTCCTCCAGTCCTGGAGGGATTTACCTCTACGCAGAGTATTTTTTTTGTTGATGGTGTGTCTTGATCCCGAAGGAAGAGTCTGCTCTTGGCAGAGGGATGTGGAAACATCAGCAGAACATGTGCTGATTGCTTCAAACGTGGCTGTATGGAGATGACAAAAGGGATCAGGCAAACCTGGGGTTTGGCAGCCAAAGTGCTGCTGTGGAGCCAAAGGTGAGCACTGCCACCAGAGGCAGGACCCAGCAGATGTCCAGGACATATTGGCTACATTAAGGACATGGTCACAGCCTCACAGCCTCTGTTACCTCCTAGGGATTTGTGTCTGGATGTTGGATCCAGCACAGCAGTGAAGGCAGAGACAAGGCACTGCTGGACACCTCCAGTGGGACCAGGGGTGGGAGCCCATCCTGCACCCCACAACAGCTCTATGTGACCCTCCCCAGCTCCAGCAGAGCTGGAGAGCCATCCCTGTGCTCCCAGAGCAGGAAACACAGGCCAGGAAAGCCAACACCACTATGCCAACACAGGATTTATCACTCCTACCCCTCCTGCAAACCATCAGCATCACATTCAGCCCTGGGTGCAGGAGCACTGTGTCTCCAGCCAGCAGGATTGGACCCAAAACCTCTGCAACACTGAATCCCCCTCCTTTGATTGCTCTCTCACTCCTTCCCACACAAGATGCAACTCGATTGTGCTCTTAATTAGGGGAGCAAGTGCCTAAAAAAGAAAAGGGCAGCAATTAGACTCGAAGCGCTGTTACCAGGATTATTTAACTCGCCTGGGCTATTCTGAACACTGCCCTCTAATCACACAGGCTGCAAACAAAAAATATAAATAAATGTCTTTGTCAGGCATTACAAAGGCAGCTTGGCACTCTGCAGACAGAAGGCAGGATGTATCATTATTATTACAATTATTCTGCTCCAATGATAAAATAACCATTAGGAAAGCTGAACTCATTAGCAGGTTCTGACCCTTTTTTTCCTCCCTGTGAATTGGGAGAGATTGATGGGAAGGTGCTGGCCAGGGCCTGGCATTTCACACAGGCTCTAAAAAAGAAAAATAAATCTGACTTGCATGGGAACGTGGCCTCTTCTCCCACTGACCTTTGGGCATTTTGATTAATTCAGTGGGCCACAAAATAATTAGAGGCCTGCACAACCAGCAGCTGTGTCTGTGGGCTCAGCCCTGGGGCACGGCGAGCGCGGCCGGAGCGGCACCACCACCACCCTGGCACAAATTGTTTATTGCTGACATTTCCCATCAGGGCGAGGGGAGCCTGAAGGAGCTTCTATTTATACCTGCAGGATGAAAGGCAAAACACAGTGATAAATCTGTGCTCTGCTCCCTTTCCCAGCCCCTGTCCTTGCGGGCACTGTGCCCACGCTCGGAGGCAGATCCACCTCCTCTATAGCCTAGAGAAGAGTTTCTCAGCCCAAGAGATGCTCGAGACACCAAGAGGTGTCAGAAGAGGTGATGAGACACCAAGACTCACAGAACAGACCTATGAGCTTCAGCAAAGCTGAAGTGATGATGGAGGATGCTCCTTACCTTCCCAAGTCAGGGAAGCTTTCCTGGTGTGCCTGCCATTAGAAAGCCCTACAAAGCTCTAGACTAGGAGAAATTGAGGTGTGCACACAAAAAAACCCACTATAGAACTAATTAAAAAGAAGTCCAAAAGCCTTAAGTCCCTCTGCTTATCAGCATTGCTGCTCCCAAGATAATCTGCTCATGGATTTTGTGCCAGGGAGATCAGAGTGGAGCAGTAAAAAGACTGCTGGGGATTGTCTGGATTAGCTCTCCCTTACAGAAAGCACAGGTTCAGTAACCTTCAGACTGGGTATTTTTTAATGCACTATAAAAGATAGGTCCCTATTCTTCCATTGCTTTAATTTTCCCCCGCAATGGAGATAATTTTAAAGGTCCTGAAAGGTAGCAAGTAATTCTGTGCACTTACAGCCCCATATAAAATGTTGGTAAATGACTCCTCAGGAGGAAGAGAAATTATCTCCTGCCATTTCCAAGCAGGGCTGCTGAAGGTAGGTGGCTGTGTATTTGGTGGCTGTGTGTGTTCCTGCCTCCCTGGGTATGACCAGGTCCAGCAGCACACGATGGGGCAGTGACTGCTGGAGCAGCTCAAGGACTGACTCCCTGAGACCCTAAAAACCTCCAGGGTTACCCCTGAAAAACAGCACTGTCCATCCCTGCAGCTGGGGCCGAGCTGTGCCAACAATCCCAGCACTCCCAGTCCATGCACAGACCTGCTTGGGATGCTGCTTGCAGCTCATGTGCCTCTGTGGAGTCAGGGATGGATCCCTCAAGGTGCTGAGCTGAGGTGCTGCAGTTCTGATGGCTGCAAACCTCCAGGTCTGATGGCAACACTGACATCTGGCATGAACCCACAGCCACAGCATCACTGCAGGTTCAGCATCCGCTGGGAAAGGTGGTGAAGGCAGGTGGAAATGGGACACTTCTGTAAATTGGCATTACTGTGAGCTATTCCATGAAAATGCACCCTGTGGAAGGGTTGGGGACATGTCCCAGGGGCAGCTCAGCATGCTGGGACATGGATATTCCCATCAGCACTTGGACCACGTGATACCAGCTGGCAGCATCACAGGACGATGATCTATTCCTGCAGGCAAGGCAGGACATCCCTAGTGCTACACAAAAACCCAGCAGAGATCTGATCTAGCACACAGGCAGACCTTCCTTCCTTGGGAGATCCACAGATGTGGCTGAATTCAACAGGACCAGGACTGAGTAACAAGCACAACTTTTCTTTCCAGTAACTGCTCCCT